TGCAGTGTCACATCAGCCAGCAAAGTTGTGCTGTACAGAGCAAAAGCAGGTGTAGATAGTGGCTCCTGGTTCCTTGCCAAATCATGTAGCTGGGCGCGCACCCTCCTCTGCAGAGAATGTTTGCAGTGGACGTGCGCACAACTGTTCACATTCGTAGCTGTATGCACCCCTCAACTAGGATAATTGCACATCTCATCACACAGTCCCTGTACATATTGACAAGAATGTACTTAGAGTCAGCCACGATCAAAACACGGTGTGGTCGCCATAAATGTACATGGTTTTGGGTACGCCACTTTACTGCCAGGTTTTGATTATGACTCATGTCACGTGAGCAAACAGGCCAGTTCATCTCGCGGTTCGGGACTGTGTCTTCTTCTCTCCATCAGAGTTTGCTGGCCTTTGTAGCCGCAGCTGCCGGGCATCACATCCCGAACTGACAGAAAACTGGGCAGAAACGCCTGAAGCTTCAGCACGGACTCTCAACAAGCTTCCGCAAGGGCATGTTCGCAGCAAACTGCCGCGCTTGCGCTTGCCGGGGTGGCGCCAGGGTTGGGGGCACCAGGAGAGGGTTTGGGGGCTGGCGAGGCCGACTTTCGCCAGCAGGATATGTACTGGTTAGTTGCGTATGACTTTTGCCAGCAGAATATGTATTGGTTTGTTGTGTATGACTTTCGCTAGCAGGATGTGTACTGGTTGGTTGCGTTTGACTTTTGCCAGCAGGATTTGTACTGGTTAGTTCCGTATGATTTTTGCCAGCAGGATATGTACTGGTTAGTTGCGGATGATTTTTGCCAGCAGGATATGTATTGGTTTGTTGCGGATGGTTTTTGCCAGCAGGACATAGGACATGTATTGGTTAGTTGCGTATGACTTTCGCCAGCAGGATGTGTATTGGTTTGTTGCGTATGATTTTTGCCAGCAGAATATGTATTGGTTAGTTGCGCATGATTTTTCTAGCAGGATATGTACTGGTTAGTTGCGTATGGCTTTTGCCAGCAGGATATGTATTGGTTGGTTGCGTCTGACTTTTGCCAGCAGGATATGTACTGTTTAGATCCGTATGACTTTGCCAGCAGGATATGTATTGGTTTGTTGCGTATGACTTTTGCCAGCAGGATGTGTACTGGTTAGTTGCGTATCATTTTTGCCAGCAGGATGTGTATTGGTTTGTTGCGTATGATGTTTGCCATTAGGATATGCATTGGTTAGTTGCGTGTGACTTTCGCCAGCAGGATATGTACTGGTTAGTTGCGTATGGCTTTTGCCTTTCGCCAGCAGGATGTGTACTGGTTGGTTGCGTATGACTTTTGACAGCAGGAAATGTATTGGTTTGTTGCGTACGATTTTTGCCAGCAGGATATGTGGTTAGTTGCGGATGACTTTTGCAAGCAGGATATGTCGGATATGTATTGGTTTGTTGCGCATGACTTTCGCCAGCAGGATGCGTACTGGATTGTACTGGTTGGTTGCGTATGACTTTTTCCAGCAGGATATGTACTGGTTAGTTGCGTATGACTTTCGGATATGTACTGGTTAGTTGCGCATGATTTTTGCCAGCAGGATATGTACTTGTTAGTTCCGTATGACTTTTTCCTGCAGGATATGTACTGGTTGGTTGCGAACGACTTTCGCCAGCAGGATATTGGTTAGTTGCGTATGACTTTTTCCAGCAGGATATGTACTTCTTAGTTGCGTATGACTTTTGCCAGCGAGATGTGTATTGGTTTGTTGTGTATGACTTTCGCCAGCAGGATATGTATTGGTTTGTTGCGTATGACTTTCGCCAGCAGGATGCGTACTTGATTGTACTGGTGAGTTGCGTATGACTTTTTCCAGCGGGATATTTGCTGGCTAGTTGCGTATGACTTTCGCCAGCAGGATATGTACTGGTTAGTTGCCTAGGACTTTCGCCAGCAGGATATGTATTGGTTAGTTGCGTATGACTTTCGCCAGCAGGATGTGTACTGGATTGTACTGGTTAGTTGCGTATGACCTTTTCCAGCACGATATGTACTGGTTAGTTGCCTAGGACTTTCGCCAGCAGGATATGTACTGGTTAGTCCCGTATGATTTTTGCCAGCAGGATTTGTACCTGTTAGTTCCGTATGACGTTTTCCTTCAGGATATGTACTGGTTGGTTGCGTACGACTTTCGCCAGCAGGATATTGGTTAGTTGCGTATGACTTTTTCCTGCAGGACATGTACTTCTTAGTTGCGTATGACTTTCGCCAGCAGGATATGTATTGGTTAGTTGCGCATGTCTTTCGCCAGCAGGATGTGTATTGGTTTGTTGCGTATGACTTTCGCCAGCAGGATATGTACTGGTTAGTTCCGTATGGTTTTTGCCAGCAGGATATGTACTGGTTAGTTGCGTATGACTTTTTCCAGCAGGATATGTACTGGTTAGTTGCGTATGACTTTCGCCAGCAGGATATGTACTGGTTAGTTCCGTATGATTTTGCCAGCAGGATATGTACTGGTTAGTTCCGTATGACTTTTTCCAAATGGATATGTACTGGCTAGTTGCGTAGGACCTTCGCCAGCAGGATATGTACTGGCGAAGTTCCGTATGATTGTTGCCAGCTGGATATGTACTGGTTAGTTCCGTATGAGTTTTGCCAGCGGGATACTGGTTGGTTGCGTATGACTTTCGCCAGCAGGATATGGACTGGTTAGTGCCGTGTGATTTTTGCCAGCAGGATATGTACTGGTTAGTTGCGTACGGCTGTTGCCAGCAGGATATTGGTTGGCTGCGTATGACTTTCGCCTGCAGGATGTGTACTGGATTGTACTGGTTGGTTGCGTATGACTTTTTCCAGCAGGATATGTACTGGTTAGTTGCGTATGACTTTCGCCTGCAGGATATGTACTGGTTAGTTGCGTAGGGCTTTCGTCAGCAGGATGTGTACTGGTTAGTTGCGCATGAATTTTGCCAGCAGGATATGTACTTGTTAGTTCCGTATGACTTTTTCCTGCAGGATATGTACTGGTTGGTTGCGAACGACTTTCGCCAGCAGGATATTGGTTAGTTGCGTATGACTTTTTCCAGCAGGATATGTACTTCTTAGTTGCGTATGACTTTCGCCAGCAGGATATGTATTGGTTTGCTGCGTATGACTTTCGCCAGCCGGATATGTATTGATTTGTTGCGTATGACTTTCGCCAGCAGGATGTGTACTGGATTTTACTGGTTAGTTGCGCACGACTTTTTCCAGCAGGATATGTACTGGTTAGTTGCGCATGACTTTCGCCAGCAGGATATGTACTGGTTAGTTCCGTATGATGTTGGCCAGCAGGATGTGTACTGGTTAGTTCCGTATGACTTTTTCCAGCTGGATATGTACTGGTTAGTTGCGTAGGACCTTCGCCAGCAGGATATGTACTGGTTAGTTGCGTAGGACTCTCGCCAGCAGGACATGTACTGGTTAGTTCCGTATTTTGCCACCTGCTGGCGAAAGACATGCGCAACTAACCAGTACATATCCTGCTGGCGGAAGTTATACGGAACTAACCAGTACATATCCTGCTATATGTACTTGTTAGTTCTGCATGACTTCCGCCAGCAGGATATGTACTGGTTAGTTGCGTATGACTTTTGCCAGCAGGATATTGGTTGGTTGCGTATGACTTTCGCCAGCAGGATATGTACTGCTTAGTTCCGTAGGATTTTTGCCAGCTGGATATGTACTGGTTAGTTCCGTATGGCTTTCGCCAGCAGGATATGTACTGCTTAGTTCCGTATGATTTTTTCCAGCAGGATATGTACTGGTTAGTTGTGTATGACTTTCGCCAGCTGGATATGTACTGGTTAGTCGCGTAGGACCTTCGCCAGCAGGATATGTACTGGTTAGTTCGTATGATTTTTGCCAGCAGGATATGTACTGGTTAGTTCCGTATGACTTTTTCCAGCAGGATATGTACTGGTTAGTTGCGTATGACTTCCGCCAGCAGGATATTGACTGGTTAGTTCCGTATGATTTTTGCCAGCAGGCTATGTACTGGTTAGTTGCGTACGGCTGTTGCCAGCAGGATATTGGTTGGTTGCGTATGACTTTCGCGAGCAGGATATGTACTGGTTAGTTCCGAACGAATTTTGCCAGCAGGATATTTGTTGGTTGCGTAGGACTTTCGCCAGCAGGATATGTACTGGTTAGTTCCGGATGATTTTTGCCAGCAGGATATGTACTGGTTAGTTGCGTACGGCTGTTTCCAGCAGGATATTGCTTGGTTGCGTATGACTGTTTCGCCAGCTGGTTAGTTCCATATGAGTTTTGCCAGCAGGATACTTACTGGTTAGTTGCGTACGGCTGTTGCCAGCAGGGTATTGGTTGGTTGCGTATGACTTTCGCTAGCAGGATATGGACTGGTTAGTTCCGTATGATTTTTGCCAGCAGGATATGTACTGGTTAGTTGCGTACGGCTGTTGCCAGCAGGATATTGGTTGGTTGCGTATGACTTTCGCCAGCAGGATACGTATTGGCTTGCTGCGTGCACGTCTATAGACCCCTTCTGCGTTCTTTGTACTTGTACCCGTGCGGCAGTCGCGAGTGCCTTCGGGCGCTCGCAGGGAGGATTCCTTGCCCCATACCAGGTTTTTTTCGAGTGGAAGGAACCCTGTTGCGCAGCGTGATATCAAAGCCTGGCCTTTTGAAGTAAGCTTCTTGGGTTTTCGGGATCCTCTCATTAGGAACACCCCAGCACGTTTTTCCTAGACAGATTGGCAACCCCTACTGCTTTTTCCAAGGTCCAAAATCCCCACTGTCAAAAACAGGTGCTTGTTTTCGGGTGCTGGGACTGGGTGGCCTGAGCTGCTGGACGCCGCAGGTCGGAAGTGAGGCCCAGACGAAACCCGCAAAGCTGGACCAACTACGGGGGGTTCGCTCAAAATGGGCACCTGACATGGATGGCTTCCTTTGGGTTTTCGTTTGGGTTCAACTAAAAGGGATCAACCATTCACAGACATACCTGTGGGGTGAATCATGGGCCACACAAACCCAAGAGCTTCTTCCTTGGGAGCTCACCCAACCCATGGCGCGCTGCTGCGCCGTGGGCTGCGGCGTCATATGGCGCCACCACCTCCATGCGGTGACTCAAAGACGAATGGGAAAGGGGGGGGGAGGGACGGGGGGAGGCGAGCTCAGGGGTTTGGTTAGAAATGGCGGTGAAAATGTTCTAAAGATGGAGGGGTTTGCCAGGTTTATGAATTTGTATGCCCTATAGCGGCCAAGTAGGACTCAAACCTCTCCCCAACCCAGGCCCCCCCTTTTCGGGTCCTTGTTTGGATGGGCCAACAGCGCAAACAAAAGGCAACCTCCTTTGGTTTTTGACTTGTGCTTCAGGAAGAAAACAGTTCCCTTTTTCCCTGGAAGGGCTTATCAAGTCCCTATTTGGAGGGAACCAAGTAGGCTTCCTTTTGCCCAAATCTGTTTCTGGCAGTGCGGCCAATCAGGGCACCGCCTGTAGTCGTGACTTCACTCACTCTGGCTTTTATCGGTTGGTGTGTTTCCTCCGGATGAATCCGAATTTCGGCCGACACAGTTAAGGCGTCAGGCAACTGTACAATTTGTGTGTGTGTGTGTCTCTCTGTGTGTCTCTCTGTGTGTCTCTCTGTCTCTGTGTGTCTCTGTGTGTCTCTGTGTGTCTCTGTGTGTCTCTGTGGGTCTCTGTGGGTCTCTGTGGGTCTCTGTGGCTCTCTGTAATTCTCTGTGGGTCTGTGTCTTTGTGTGCCTGTTTGTCTGTGTGTCTATGTGTCTGTGTCTGTTTGTCCGTGTGTCTGTCTGTGTGTGTGTGTCTGTGTTTGTGCGTTTGCGCGTCTCTGTTTGTTTGTTTGTTTGTTTGTTTGTTTGATTGATTGTTTGTTTGTTTGTTTGTTTGTTTGTTTGTTTGTTTGTTTGTTTGTTTGTTTGTTTGTGTGTTTGTTTGTTTGTTTGTTTGTTTGTTTGCTTGTTTGTTGGTTTGGTTGGTTGGTTGGTTGGTTGGTTGGCTGGTTGGTTGGTTTGTTGGTTTGTTGGTTTGTTGGTTGGTTGGCTTGCTTGCTTGCTTGCTTGTTTGCTTGTTTGTTTGTTTGTTTGTTTGTTTGTTTGTTTGCGTCTTTGTTCCGTCGTCTTGCCACAGCAGGCAAAGAGGTATCAACGAATCCGTGATAGACCCGGAAGGCCAGGAAGGCTCCTCAGTTTTGGCAGCATGGAACGAGCAGTCTTTCCAGGGAGCTTGTGCATTCGGCCTCGTGGCCTCCCCTTCAATCAAAGCCTTTGCAAGGTTGCTTGTTTCTTCTCCAGAATTAGCTCCCCCGTTGCCTTTTTGGCTTTTTTGGGCTCCCCTTTGTTTTCCACTAACTAGGCAAGAAATATATATATATATATATAATATTATTTTTTGCTGGGGTCCTAACTCCAGCCAAGGTTTGTTGGGCATTTATGTGAACAAATGCGGGGATATAACGTTTATCAATACAGCTGCTGCTGCCAACGTTGGACCTTCACCGGCCTTCGGTTGTGAGCAGCGCATGCCTTCAGGTCTTCATGTACCCTTCTGAAGGTTTGACGAGTGAGGGCTCCCTAAATTCAGCGTGCAACTTGTTTCAAAACAGAAAACAGATTGGGGCTGCATGGGCTCGCCCCCTAGGGTTCTGTTGGGTTCCCCTCAAACCCCGAAAACGGCACACCCAAAGGTGCACGTGGAGGCCTGAAGGCCAAGCCGAGGTGGCTTCAATGGAGCCCCGGCGCCGGCGCTTCAGAGGTTCTTTTCTTGGGCCTTGGGCGGGGGATGTGAAAGCTGAAATTGCATCCCTTTGCCGCGCCTGTTCTTATGCGCGATGACCCGGAGGTAAAACGAGCTCACCATGATGCAGGTCCTGTCGGGGATCCCTTCATTCTTGTAGAATTCGCAAAGGCCTTTGGCCGCGAGGGCATGGACCTATCTGCTGCATTCTGCTGCATTCGTCGAGTCAGGTGTAGAGCTCAACTGTGACAAGCGCAACTTTGATTCTCGCTGGTAGCCTTAGGATGATCTGGCGCTTCAAGCCACTTGATTTGTTTTGACTAGATTCATGTCACGCACATGGAAACTTGCACATTCAATCGCATGTTGACTCCATGTTTTCTCCTCGCGCCCAACATCTTTGCGGGCAAGGCGTTTCAACGGTCGAAAGGCACATGTCGGCTTGCTATATTCCCTTTGCCGAAGCAAGGCTGTGCGCCCCAAGCTTTGGACCAAAGCTTGTGTTCCCCGTCCGCAAGCTGGCCACGAAACCGTGCAGGAGCAATCAACCCTCCCAGCTGAGCAGCTAGGCCTTGGAATCCCCGGAAAGTATACATACTTACCTCTACATTCATACGCGCACACACACACACACACACACGCTTTTTTTTGCCTCTCTTGGCAACTAGTGGGGTCCACCTGAAATTCAAATTGCGGCCCAGCTAATGGTCACTCAAGGTTGACAAGGTTTGAGAAAATCAACATTTGGAGGCTTTCTGGTGGGACGCTGCTCAAAAGGTATAGGGGCTTGAGCCCGGGGGGGTTACTTTAGTACAGGTGGGAATCTAGGAGGCAAAAGGGGCAACCTTTAATCGGGGGGTTGCTAATCATTTGCTCACGTTAGTGAAAGGACACTTCCATTGTTGCCCCCTTGCCCCCTTCTGACTGTTCTTGTTTGGGGGAACATGACTTGGCTGTTTACTTTGGTGCGTGGAGGATGTATTTTGACCCCTTTTACTCCTCCTTACTCCAGGTTCGGAAGGCTTTTGGACATGGGGAACCCCCGGCGTGAAGTTGACCCCAGTTCCCTCCGCTACTCTTCCAAGGCCTGGTCTACACCTGTGTTGTGGAGCCAGACGATGCCCGGCGCGCCGCGGCGGTGGAGGCAGTGCGAGCCCAACTGGGTGAGGACGGGGGAGGAGCTGTTGGAACATTGTTTGTGTGTTGTCTCAGAACAGGGCCGCTCAAAATTGGCCCGCTCAAAATTGGCGGCTTTTCTTGGTGGTTTCACACACACACACACACACACACACACACACACACACACACACACACACACACACACACACACACACACACACACACACACACACACACACACACACACACACACACACACACACACACACACACACACACACACACACACACACACACACACACACACACACACACACACACACACACACACACACACACACACACACACACACACACACACACACACACACACACACACACACACACACACACACACACACACACACACACACACACACACACACACACACACACACACACACACACACACACACACACACACACACACACACACACACACACACACACACACACACACACACACACACACACACACACACACACACACACACACACACACACACACACACACACACACACACACACACACACACACACACACACACACACACACACACACACACACACACACACACACACACACACACACACACACACACACACACACACACACACACACACACACACACACACACACACACACACACACACACACACACACACACACACACACACACACACACACACACACACACACACACACACACACACACACACACACACACACACACACACACACAGACACACACCCACAGACACACACCCACAGACACACTTTCACACGCTATCAACCGAGCTTACGTGATCGTGAGACCTCGATGGAACCGAGCAAGAAGGCCCAATCCCGAGTGCCATATTGTATGCGGCTCGGTCAAAAGTGCCAAACGTCCAAGTGAAACGGAGGTTTTCCGCTCGCGCAGCGGCAGGAGCCACTCGCCTTCGTTACGCTGGAGGACGCAATCCAAGCGCCACAGCTGAAAGACGCAGTGAGGAGCAGCCCTGCAAGAGGCTGAAGGTTGGTGGAGTTCTTTCAAGGGCCCCAAAAATCCCAGCTGCCAACCAAAAAGGAGTCCGCGATTTTGAGCTCCTTATTCTGCTTCTACCGTGTGGAGGAGAACTAGTGGGTGTGCCTTTTTGAGGGTTTCTTGCTTGAGGTTGTTTCTTTGGGGAAACCTACAGGACACGACCTTTTCCCTCTTTTTTTTTTTTTTAAAGGGGGTTCCCCTATTTTAAGACGCACCGTCATTTTCTCAAGCAGCTCGGCTCCATTTGCGCGGCAACACGTCGCTTGAGGCCGATCCAACACAGGAGCTCTTTGTAGCTGTGGTGCGGGCCCCGGGCCAGACGTGAGAGACGTAGTATTGCTTCTTCCGGGCCAGTTTTGGGCGCACGAAAAGCCAAAACCCATCTTCTGTTCGAACAAGAGTCAAAGTAGCACCCCCCCCCCCGCTTAACGCCCATATGCCAGAATCTGGTCATGTTCAGGCAAAGGCTGAGGTCGGAGTGGCCTGCGACCATGTTGAAAGATGGAAGAAAGGGAGGAAAGGATGATGGCATTTTGGATCATACGCAGCAGGGCCAGGGAGGGCAGGTATGAAGGAGGGTTTTGAGGTGGGTCTGGTCCATTTTAGTGGTACACAAGCAGTCCAGACTCTTAATCAATCCGCGGCAGTGAGGAATTGGGGACACACTCGATGGAAAATGTTTCTTGCTCTTTGTTTGAACGCGTGTTCATCGGTTCGATACATGGTTTTGGTTTGTATTTTTCGAGGGCACCCTTGTTGGCGTGGGCTGCTTTGGGCGCGAAACCGGGGAGGGGGCATCTATTTTGAGGGTCCCAGCTGAGTGTGACACTTTCCCAGCTCCATGGATGGCACAGTTTCCCCTACGACCCTACGACCCATACATTTTATGCTATCGAAAAAGCAACACACCCATGTTATTTACAGCCGCCTTTCAAAGAGGATACGCCCCCCATCTCGCGAACTCACGCCTCCAAGGAGCGACCATGGCCATGAGACAATTTCATTTTTGGAAAGGGCACTCCACCCAAAATAGACATGGAGCCAATGGGAGCGGAAAGAGGGCCCCAGGTTACCTCCCGGGGTCCCTCAGTTTTTCCTTTCTGGACCTCAACTCAGGTCTAGGGGGAACTTCCTCTTACACCTGCGGGCGCTTGTTGTTGCAAGAATATCCTTTTGATGTTCTGGCAAGGCAAGAGCCTGGTTGCTTGAACCATTCTACCCCCCCCCCCCCCCTGGTATTGGCCCCTTAAAAGACACGGCCACATCTTTAACATGTTTTTCACACCTTGTGCTGAAACAGCAACTCCAGCCTCGATTTTGGGGCGGTGACACCATTAGGTAAGGAACTGAACTTCTGGCTTGCGTAGAGGGTCAATGGTCTACCCCACGACCAACTACAAGGGCATGGTTTGCGGCAGCCCATTGTCTGTGATACCAAGGAAGCCCCCTTGCAAGAGACCATGTAGTGATAGGGTTTGGGCTCCTCTTTGGCATCACAGATTTCGGGTTATTTCCTAGCATTTAGAAGGAAGCCTACATGGCAAAATGTCGACCCCTGAGTCATCAAGCCCCCGGATATCTTTTTAGTGGGTTCCTTTCTCCCCTCAACACTCCCCTACAGATTAACATGGAACCCAACCACCATTTGTAGAGCAAGCTCCTTTTTGGGAATTGGACCTCCCTTTTGGTTTCCTTCTGTTAGCTTGCGGGTTCAAGTCACTTGACGGATCAGTCGAGGACATCATGGTGCCCAACGTCGGGCTGCTGCACGAAGAGGTGGCCAAGACTGCGCTCCAAAGTCGGCGCCACGTGCTCTTGGAGAAGCCCATCTCGGCCCTTCGCTGGATACAGTGCGGGAGTCAGTGGAGTGGGCGGCAGGCACGTTGAGGGGCCGAACAAAATGAAAAAAAAGCAGCTTTTGGGGTGAACATTGTGAAACTCCCTTTCAACCACCGTGTGGCTTATGTTCAAGATGTCAGGGTAATCAATGGAAGCAGTTGGTGGGGGGTGGTGGTGGGGGGGGGGGGTGGGGCAGCTACTGGGTATGACCTTCGTCTTAGTTGCTCATGAGGAAATCAACCTTGTGACCGCTTGGTGTTCTCGCGTTTGTTCATTCTCAGCGTGGGTAGATGGCTTTGCCTCGGCAAAATGCCAAATGTATAGACTTTTTTGTGGAGGGTCATCGGGTCGGACCCATGCAGTGGTGCTTTCCGGTTGCCCCTTTTTGGAGAGGGATAAGTTTGGGAGGGTGCTGATGCCTCGTTCTCGGATGCTTGGTGCCTCAGGCAAGGTAAAGGCTGATCCTCGTTGGAAGTTGCATGTGTTGCGAATAGATCTAAGGGGCCAATGGATTGCATTCTGGGGTTGGGCCAATGACTCCATAGAAGTTTCCCGCAGGGTTCTTGGTTCTTAACATGGGGTTCCCCCCAAAAAGTCACCGGGGTTTGCTGCATCGCTGCAACAGTTCCCAAGGATGGAACCGCAGACCAAAACCTGCATAACCCCAGTTCCTTAATTTTGAGCCACACTCAGATGTCGCCTTTCTGAGCCAGTGACCCCAGGTCTCGGTGGCCTCGGGCCTGCGGATCCTCGCGGCGCAGGAGAAGTATGCGCCCGAGAGGGCCCCTCGGACGCGGGCGCTTGGAGTCTGGGTTTTGGCGGGTTGGAGTTTGGGCATGTTTCGACTCATCTCCTCGAAAATTCCCGGCTGAAGGGCGCATGCATTGGGGGCAACAGGGAAACAAGTCCACTCATCAGGGTTTCCGGAAAGTTTTAGAGGGATGAACACTCTGAGCGTGTCTTCAGCTAGGCCATCCCAAATTGCGGTTTTCCCTTTGGTGCCTCATTAAACTCTCGACATAAAGGGTACCCTCCAAAAGACAGACTGTAGTCCACAGACTCTGGGTGACAGTCAAACACCACACGCAACCCCCGACTCTTCAGAATCTTCAAGCAGTATGTCTTGGGCCGTGATTTTTGTCGGCCCCATGTATAAGCAGCATTTTCGGTGCAATTTCTGGCGTGCCGTTTGAAGGAATCTTGAATGGAAGAATTCGGAAGGTCCCCCCACAGTTCAACCAAGCTTTTTCAATTTCATGGGTTGCCAAGAATTTGCGTTGCTTTAGGAAAGAATCCGTTTGGGTTCAGAATGTTGGAAGTTCGGCCGGGAAGCATGGCTGGGCCATGTGTTTTTTGGCTTCGGATCCCTTCAGACGGAAGCCACCAGGCACGGATGAGGTAACAAGTTGGCTAAACTTGGCATCGTGTAAGGTTCACGACGGACCACTCCCCGCGCAGAATGGGCGGCCAAGCAAAGGCTGCGACTGCGATGGGGTAAACCAAAGTGGCTGAGGTCCTCATTGGTTTTTGATTCCAAGTGCGGAAGGCAATGGCATGGAGTAACGGTTAAAGTTGGGAGGGTTCAAATCCTTCCAGATACCACCGGGACGCGTGGTGAACCTCAAACGTACGGAAGTTTCCCTCCTGAGGTCCTCATGGTGGCGGAGAACGCCCAGTACTGGCGCGAGATTTTGGAGGCGCGCCGCCTCTTGCGCAGCGGCGCCATCGGGCAGGTCCTCTCCGTACGCGCCCCTTGGCCCGGCGAAAGGGTCCGTGGTGTACGCGTTTTTTCTTTTCTTCCAAGGGGACCTGGTGGTTTTTTGGTTTCCCGAAGAATTCAAGCAAATAGGGGTGCCCTGAAAAAAGACACACCCACATGTGCATTTGTGACTTTTTGATGCCGGGGGTGTTTGCACTGGACAACTCTTCGGAACATGCCCTTTCTGCCATTGCATGCAGGCTATGATCCACTGCGATCAGCTATATTTGGTGCGAAGGTGCCATGATTCCTTCATAGATTGTGCCTTCACGCATGATCTATTTGTTATGAGTACCCTCTACATGAGTGTTTCTCCAAATGGTGGGCCGCCTTGGTTGGTATTGAAAGTCAGGCCAAATGAAAAACATCATGTAGGGACCGCATTTTCGAGGAACATGTGAGGTGTGTGGTGTGTGTGTGTGTGCCCTTTTCTGAGGGAACCCTGGATTGAAGGGACGCCACAAGGAAGCCAAGTTCTTGACAAGGTTGGAGGCAAGCCAAAATATTTCCACTCGGGAACAAGTTGGAGCCCCCACAACATGCCACAGAAATTCATGGTCTTGTGGTTGGAGGTCCGTGCGCTTTACATAGGAATCCTCCGAGGGGGCGGCCTTGGGTTTAGGGAATGTCGTTTCGGGAGCTGCCTTGTGGTTTTGTCTGGAAGGCAAGCATGCCAAGCAAGGAGCAGCCTTGAGGCAGATTTCGTGGGAACATCGATGCTGGTACGCGGCAAGGATGTGACGGAGATTTGTTGCATGCCTCGCCGCGTACCTTATGCAACATGACTGGTTCGCGCGTTGCAGATCCTTAATACTTTTGATTGAAGACGCTTGTTTGCTTGAAGCTGTTTGTTTCCAGGCGGCAACTTGGCTGTAGTTGAAAGGCAGGGCCTCCCCGCTGTTGCAATAAATGAGCAAGACACATTTGAGCAAGATCCACATATTGCGAGAGCCACACATGAGCAGATAATGTACTTGCAATCCGCACATGGGCAAGATGCACATCAGACAGCTCCACAATTGCGAAAGAGAATGTGTCATGAGCAGGGTATGCAGTTGCAAAACACGCACGACTAACGTACAAAAAGGAAGCACGACCTACATGCAAGAGAGCGGGCAAGCTTCACCTGAGGAGGGATGCGCTATCAAAAACACGCCAGCAAGACACGCGGCGGAGGGTATGCGCCAGCTACGCCTGAGCAGGGTTTACACTTGCAGCACTGCATGAGAAGACGCACTTGCGAGAGTGTATGGGCAAGACATGGCAAACACATCAGCGATCCCGACAAACTAAGCAAGAGAAGCTGAATCAATTGAGATCCAGCCGATTGAGGCTGGCATGGTTGGAGTGGAAAAAAGGGGCTTTTTGAGAGCAGACCGCAGCTTGATCCCCAAGTCTATGCTGCAAGGCAGTTCCAACAAAGAGGGATAGGAGGTTCATTTCGGTTCGGTCGCCTTGCCCCGAACCGAGGCCAAGTTCTGGGAGAGCGGGCACCCTGCGCTGAACGAGTGGGCGGCGGACGGGTCCTACGACCCCGGGAGCTTCATCGCCTCGGCGGCGGAGGGCTTCGTCTTCGACGGCGGCCTCCACTGGCTGCGGCCCCTGCGGATGTTCCTGGGGCAGGCGGGAGGGACGGAGGGACTCAGTGCGATGGTTTGGGGGCTGGGGTGGCTGGGGTGGGGAGGGGCTGGGAGGGGTGAGGGTTGGGGAGTGCGGGGGTGTGTTTGTTTTTGCATGGGACTGTTTTCCTCCGTTCAATGGTGGTCTACGGTTATAACCGTATTTGCAACCCAGAGGTGAGGTGGGGCTCAGCGGAGGGGCAGAATGTGCCATCCCTGGCCTCCTTGACGACAAGCTCAGCCCCACATCGCTGCACAGTGCCGACGCAGCACGTGGGACGCAGCACGATGCAGCACGGCCACATCTCGACGATTCTCGCCAAGTCTTGCACAAAACGGACCACGTCTAGTAGACATTCTTAGGCCATGACCGTTTCCCTACCCAGGGGGTTGTTAAACAATGGCTGGCCACGTTGGCGGCTGCAGAGGGTGGGGTTGGTGTGGTGGGTGTCAAGCTTCCGGGCCGGGAAGCACCGATACATCAGTTTGCTTCTCATGTTTTGCAAGCACTGTCTGTTTCAACCCGGGATTGAACCCGGGAGACAGGCAACAACTTTGGAGCGTCAGGCTAATGGGCGCCGGGGGGCTTCGCAAGTGGCCATGCTGAGGGAGTGATCAACTCCGAGTCAATGCTTGGTAACATCTAATTTCTTCTGCGCACGTTTTTTGGCAAGCTTCCCTGGAGGGAAAACGAGCTCACCCATGATGAAGGCGCTTTACTTGGGGATCCCTTGTTTGCGGTGTTGGAATCGTCATGCATCTTGGAGATATCTTTGCCCTCTGGAATGGTGCAATATGTTCAAATTTGTTAGACTTGAAAGTTGATAAAGAACTGAGGAGATTATCCAAGAGATTGCTGAGGTGTGGAGCAAACGTGACCGGGTGAGCTTAGGTAATCATAGCAACTTTAATCTGTCAACAAGGGCCAACAAAGTTGTTGAGTGATACATCTATGTTGGGTTTTCAGGTCCCACTTTCAGGGTCGTTCAAAAGCTGCGAAGGGAATCGCAGAAAATAGACCCTGCATTGCCGCTGGGTTTTCCTTTGCAATGGTTTTTTGAGGGGTTGGGCGTAAGTTTTGCCACTGCACGTGTTCATGCCGCCCACACGCTGCTTGACAGTTTGACGGAGGGTTGGGGCAAGCGTTTAAGACTGTACTGCACACTGCATGGAGCACACATCATTTCCGGCACGTCATAGCAACACCATCAGGTGCTGAGATTTTGTGTTTGAGTTTGGCATCCCCTTATTGCCGTGATCATTCCCATTACAACCAGGTACTTAACCAACGCATTAACCTATGCTTAACTAGCACTCGTCACGAGCGAACGGCTATAACTCAGAACGATGCGGGCAGATATATATATTATAGTTTGCTTCTCTCGACAGAGGCTTTAACAGTCTGCAGGGCCCATGCGCGATTGTCAGCGCTACCAGGGTGGTCCTTTTGGTTTCCTTGAAGCGAAGCCAATCAGAGGGAGGTGCCACTTGTTTGGCACATGTTAAATCTTGAAACCGAGGGCGTCCCTTCACCCACCCAACAACTGAACCAAAGCATGGGACCTAGATTTGTCAAGGGCCCGGTTTTTCACTTCACCGCCCCCAGCCGCCGGCAGAGTGCGATCTCAGTGGACCTAGTTCCAAGAAGCCAATAGGGTTTTCTGTTCTCGGGCACGCCCCAGAACGGCTCATGTCCGTTTTGTTTTCCCGTTTTCCCTGACCAAAAAGCGTTTTCCCCCAACAAAAATACCAACACATACTTGCGTCATGTGGCCTAGCCGGCTTTGGTGTACATCTCCTCGAGGCCGTCCGGGTAGCTGCTGTGGCGGGAAGGACGTTGCCGCACATGCAGGGCCCAGGCTTCGCGTTTGGAAGTGCATGACTCGATCAGCGACACATTAAGCCGGTTCCTGGGGTTAGGTCAGCAGTTGGGGATGCTTGCCTGTCACCTTCCACCTTCAGGGTAAAATGAGCCCCTTGAAACTGATAGAGGAACCTCCCCTGAAAGGACCCCCCAGAGAAGGTTACATGTTTTGCTTGTCTCGGGGGCGTGCACTGAATGCGCGCGACTGGCTATGCTTCGGGCTTTACCTTCTCCACGCTTCAAAATGAGTTCCAGTCCGTTGCCCCGAAAAAGGGGGTGTCGCGTGATGCGCGCACGGCTTGTTCACGGCCAGCGCTTGTGGTGCGCCAGTGGTCATGGTATTCCGTGGAGGCTTTGGCCCTGATGAACTTGTTGAAGTCACAGCTTCACAGATAGTCCAATTCGTGGTCTTACCTGGCACCAGCAACAAAGGCCCATGATGGAGCCATGCTGACCCAAGAATCCATGAGCAAGCTCGGCTTCGGCAGATGTTGGTCAAAACTAGCCAACAATGCAACAAGAAAACAAGGGGTCGCCAAGATGGTGTGAGGATCAAACCGCCAATGGTTTACCCGGAAGCCATGGAGCGCTGAAAAGCCGGCAAGATAGCGAAGTCACCTTAAGGTCTAGGCAAGTCACCTTACTGCATCTAGAATCTAGCCTGATATTTGCCCAAGACCTTAGTCCTAAACCTTAATCCGGAACTCTAAATCTACAGCCACACCCCAACACCAAATCGGAAGCCTCAACCTGAGCCATCTGAGCCATCTGAGCCGAGCCCATGGTCCTGCAAAGCGCTTGGACATTGCTCTAGGGATGGCAGAGGCATTTCCAGAGATGAAGTCATAACACGGAGATGTCGACCACACGTTTGGTTTCCACTTGAACGCAGGGAGCGGTGGTCGAAGGTGGCCATTGGACGCTTGCGAGTGACCACATGGGGCGCAGTGATTGGTTCCGTGGACCCGGTGCCATAATACAGGGGATACGTCACGCTTGGTAGTACTGGAACAAAACAAAAGGAGATATAACCAAACTGAATTTGGTTTGGAGCAAAAACTCTAGCGCCAGAGCCGCATTGTAATCCCTCAGGGTGTTCACCTTTGGGTTACAGTTCGCAGGCATGGCCCAGGCCTTGATGTGCTTCGACAGCGGCGTGACGGCGGTCTTTGAGTCCATCCTGGCGCCAGGCGGGCTGTGGGCAGCTCACCCGAGAAAGCTGAGCTTTGGGGTAGGCTATTGGGTTTGCTTTGGTGGCCCGGGACCTTTGGATTTCCGGGTCTTTTCTTGACTGCTATTGGGTTGGATCTTTAGACTTTGACTTTTTGGGAAATCAAGGGGTTTCCCACTAAGCCCACAAAAAGTTAAACCTTTTGCAGAGGGATCAACAGCAACCAAGTTTTGGGCTGAGCGGCGGAAAGCTTTGAAAGGTCGGGCAAGTCTTTTGAGGGTGTCAATCTTGCAACCTGCCAAATGACGGGAACGCCAGCACATTCCTCCCCCTGGCAGCTGGCTACATGTTGGCGGGATCACACGGCTTCATACAACATGACCACCTTCAAAGCTTAATGTGTTTTTTTTGCGTGTGTCTGTGTGTGTTCGCATGCGTGTGCACCCGTATACCAAGTTGTAGGTACAGGTTTAAAGGGTGCCTCATGAACGGCCGCCAGCTTACTTTCTTGTTTTTGTTGTTGGGGACATCTTGGGCCCCGAGTTGTTGTTTTTGTTTTTTTCCTAGGTGGGTGTTTCTTGCCTGCTTTTGTGGCTTTTGGTGGCGGCTTTTTGTCGGCTTTCCACATCCTCGGCATCGCCGGCAACCTCCGGTTTTGGTCTTGTGTGCTTTTGAAAGCAACAGTCTCAGGAGCTGGGTCCAAGCGGCGCAGATCTTATCATCAGCCTTGGCCCGCGGTAAGCTTCGAAGCTCATTGGGGGTCCCCCCCCCGCAGGCCCCAGGCCCCCGGCACGGGCGGCACGGGAGAGGTGCCATCTCTGAGCAGCCCTTCTTTGTGATCCAAGGCTCCAGCGGGGAAATCGTGCGACTCGGGCCGGATGCGTTTGCGTGGTTGCAGTTTAGAAGCACAAGGGGGCATGCCCAATATGTAGATGTTTTGATGTCACTTGACAAAGCAAAAGGGTTGCCGGCGCCTGGCAGACTTGAATGTCGCTGGAAGCATCACCCGCCCACCCCTGACGCTGCGGGTGTCATGCCACGCGCGTGGCAACTCAAGAAGCTGTCACTATCCTAAGGTTACCCCATGCATGCAATGCTAAGCCTCAAGACGAACCGAAGCCTAAACCAACCCATAGCACAACCCTTACACCAAAGCAGCACTCCCAAGCCCTGCCCGGCCCCCCAACCAGCTCGGATCAAACCCACAAGCAGAGTTTGTGCGGCACCAAGACCAACCTCATCACATTCCATCACAAGACCTCACCAACCCTGACAGAGACAACACCCTTGGACACGTTGTTTTCTTTTTGTCAAATCATTTTGGCACCGGAATTGCAGCTCTATTCTGGCACCATCATACCAGTTCAATGTCCGGGCCGTTCACTGTGTAAGCGTTTGCACGGCCAGCGCCATTTACTGCTACACATATGTTGGCTAAGAGCGATCGGTACATGAAGGCGCACACACCCACAAACACAAGGACAAGCACAAACACAAACACAAGCACAACCACAAACAAGCACACATACACGCACACGTACACACACACACACGGTCACGCACACGCACATACAACACTAGCTCTGAATTTGTGAGTACATATATGGACGATTGACCCCCGCGTTTTTGGTGCCAAAAAAGAGGCCAATGGCAACACGCAATTTTTAGGGGCTGGCCAAAGCAGGCGCTGCTGTGCGGTTCATGTTGGCAGGATGTGCTTTTAAAACAAAGGGGTGCACAGACAAAGCTCTGCATTTCAGTGACCATGCAATTTGAGTATTGAAGTTGTGATGTTGTGGACGGGAAAACACATCGTCAGGTCAGGTTGCAGAAACTGAAGTCCTTCTTGGTCTCCTCAGAGAGGCTCCCTTTTTGGCAAACTGAGTCTCGTTTCTAGGGGGAAGCTCAAGAACAGGTCAGCGACCCTCAGTTGTCCTTTTAACATGGGTGGGTTGGTTGCATTGGCAATTGAGCAGAGCCAAACCGAAACCAGTGGAATATTTTCGTGTTCAATGAGGAGATGCTTCCCCCCTAAACATCACCACTTCAGGCAAACAACTCCCCTTAAATGGCTCAAATTGGTGATGGCTAAATCCACCAGAAAGGAAATATAGGCCGTCCTGACAAAACTGAAGCCAAGGATGCCCCTGTCGGCCCCGGCTCTCAGGCTCGACGGTTTCGCGGGGGGCGGCCGCGTCTACACCGTGGCGGAGGGACGGGTGCTGGAAACCGCCCCGCGGATGAAGGGCACGGGCCCGTGGGAAATTGCCGAGGGGTCCCTGTGATTTTGTTCAGCCGGTTTAAACATCACCATTTGGGCTTTTGGATGAGCCACCTTTTGGCGGGGTGATGTTTATGGAACCTGACTGGAGGTTTCCGGGAGGAATTCTTCTAGAACGGACCTGCAGTCAGGTTCCAGTTTCCGTGTTGGGAGGCTACGTGGCCATGCAGCACATGTCCCAAAAGATGTACTGTACTTGCAATTGTATAACTTATATACGCCTTGCCCTGTGCATATCCGATATAGTTGTCGGGGGGGGGGGACATGGGAGATAAGACGCTGAAGGGGAAGTTCGGAAGGGGGGGGAGGGGCAAACCGGCTTCGCCCAAACTTGCTGCGTGTTGGGGCCAAAACTTTACAACAGGTTTCATCCGCCTGGATCTTGCCGGCGGATAAGGCTCCTCAAATCACATGAAAGTCGATTTGGGGGCGTTTCAGGGTTAACCTTCGAATCTCTCCCAATACGAAACACAGACTGGAAGAGCATGTTCCTTTCAAGTCTTGACTGCTATTGGGTTGGATCTTTAGACTTTAACTTTCTTGGGGAAATCAAGGGGTTTTCCACCACACCCACAAAAAGTTAAAGTCTAAAGATCCACCCACGCCTCCTCCCTTTTTTGCCGAGGGATCAGCACCCGAGCAGTGGACCTGTCAGCAGCCCGAGGAGATCAACGCCGACTTCTGCGGCCCTGTGGGCTGGGACACGGGCTACGCCGGCGAGGTCGCCGACTTCGCGGAGGCCGTGCTGGAGAACCGCCCGCCGGCGGCGGGCCCGGAGGAGGCCGTGGAAGACCTAAGCAGCTCGGAAGGGCCTAAGCAGCACGTGGCCCCAACGCAGAAAACAGCTTGGAGGGTTGACGAGTTTGGTACAGGCAAGACACACCCCGCACCTTTGGGTTTAAAATTTTAAAGGGGCTGCCGGTCCCAAACCATGGTCGATGCAAAGCCAAAAAGAACCTTCGACGATGCCAACGCGCTTGGAGAAGTGTTGGCCCCAGATTGGCTCCTTCTCATTCCACCCTCTAGACCCGTTTGGTTTGGTGCAAGGAGCAGAGAATGAATCCCAAGAAGATGGCGTCCAATTCTTTTTCTGCGAGGGTCACTTGGCAACTGAGTCACTGTTCTTGACCTTTCGAGTTGTTTTGCACTTTGGAGCTATGCTCAGATGGGTGAGTTTCGCAAGCTTACAGGCATCCATTGTGTGTTGATAAGCTCGTTCATCCACCTTGAGCGATGTTTCATCGCGCCCTGGTTTACTGCTGCGGGTTTTCGGAAACTGGGGATTCCCACAATGTTGGCTCCCCCAAGCCCGTCGACAAACACACAGAAATCCACACACACACACACATCATCCCAACTCTTGGCATGTCTGCAGGCGGCTCTCTGGTTCGACTCCCACTAAACTAGCGCATGAATTGGCAGCCTCTCCAATATGCATTTGGCTCACCTAACTGCGCAGTTTGCCTTTCCATTTGAATTGCTCTTTTGCCATTGACGCATTCCACAAGCAGGAGGTCGTAATGACGGGAGTCTTTAGGTGGGACTGGATTTGTGCCAATTTTGGAGGAATGCGGGGGGAGGAGGAGGCGGGGGTTCAGTTGTGTACAAAGGTCAGTGCCCCAATACGCTTGCCACATCAAAATGTTGGACGTCGCACCACCCAAGCTGACACTGAGCTGTTGCTTTCGAAACGGAGAAGGGACCAGGTTCCAAGTGGCAATTTGGGCGGGATCTGATTTCACACATGTCAGGCAATAGGCCTTTTTGGGCATCGGAACCTGGGACAGCGCAAGCTATTTTGTCGCGGATTTCAGCTTTCCCGTAGTTTATTCCGACAGACACCCTTTGATAGAACCCATAGGGCAGCCAAATTACATCTCAAGGTTTCCTCTTTGAAAAAACTCCATGTCTCTTGGCCGTTTTTTTCGTTCGGGTTCCATTTTGCGAACCCACCGGGTTCTCTGAGAAAGCCCCGCGCAGCGCTTAGCGCTAAGGGCTGATGCTGGCCATGATGAAGGCGGCCAAGAGCGGGCAGTGGGAGGCGGTGAAGGAACTCGAGCCCCAGCTCGAGATGGCCACCTTGGGCTTGGCGCTGTGAGCGCGCCGCGCGGGTCCCAGCCCTTCGACCCTCAAGGGTTGTGACATGTGCTGTGTTGCCTGGATTCCGCCCTTGTTTTCCCCTTTTTTTGGGGAAGGGTTCCTCTTTACTCAACCAACCACAAAAGGATGCCTTTTTTTTGTTTTTCTCCCGTGGCCACTGGGCATCTGAGTATGTGAGTGGCCTCAACACTTGCCGCACCCCGTCGTGTGGCTTCCCACGGGTGCCGGGAAGTATCAAGATGATGACATTACCGGCTAAACTTGTTGCAATGGGATTCAGGATCTAAGACCAGTAAAGATTTTAAGCCCCTCTGGGATCCATCTTTTTTCTCGGGCTCAGGGTTCCTTGCGAGCTTGGCACGCCTACGTTTGACGATCCATTTCTGGGTGTCCCGGCTACTGGAGGCCTCGGCCCAGGTCACGGAGGTGTCGGAGCCCGGCACCGCGCCGGAAAAGAGCGGCCGGCATGCGCGCGAGGTTTGGGTTGGCAATCCTGGCCCGGCCCTCGTCATGATCGGTGAAGTAGGCGTGGCATAGCGGAAACAAAAAACACGACCTTTGGATAATCAGATGGCGTTTGCCCTGTGTAGCCAGGTTAAAGAGGTGCAAGCCGGAAGCAAAGTGAGTGAGCGCCGGAAGTTGGGAGGGACCAAGCTTTGCAGACACTTCTGCTCGAGAAATCCTGTTTGCCGCGCAGCTCCCTAAACTTGCGCCTCGCAATCATGGTGGAGATGCAGCCAGGGATTTGCAAGATGGAGCGGCCTGGCCTGATGCCTGTGTGACGGGAGGATCCAGAACACCTTCAGCAAGGTTCCTTTCCAAGGGAACCTCAGAAACGCCAGTCGTAATGTTTGATATCGTGAGTTTGGGCCACCTGGTCAAAGGCCCATTTTGGGGTTTTCTTTCTGCCGGACCCGCCTGGAATGAGAGTTGGGCGCTGGGCCAAACTCCCCCCCCCCAGGTTTCTGGCTTGAACCTCAGGAAGATGAAAAGCCGGGATCACTTTGCGGCCAATATCGAGGGAGTTTCCTCGAGGGTGATGTTTGCTCAGAAGTTTCGGCCACCTGGGGCTTCGCCCAAATTCCGAACAGTGCACCCCTTTCAAGAGAAGGGGGGGTCTTTGAGAGGGTCGGAGGCGCTCCTTGTGTTTGGGGGCCTTTTCAAGATGCAAGTCTCTTCCCACTCCAGAAGTAAGGCCCACTCCGGATTCACACAAGGGGGTGGTCCCCCGAAAGTGATCCGCATTCTCTCTACGGGGCGCCACCCGTAGCTTAATCCCCGGTTCCCATCCCATTCCACGGGTGGAGGGAAATTGTGGCCGAAGCCGGCGAAGTTCAAATGACCCTCGCCCTGTTCACAGTACTAGACACCGAGCAGGTCTTATGGCCGTCTTGAAAACGGGCCGGGGGAGGGGTGTCATGTCCAATAACTCTGTAGTTGTGCGCTTTGACATATAAGTCTTCCGATTTTTCCACAAAACACCTCAAAGGGGACAGCTTCCTCCAATGGACTGTTCAGGGACCACTTTCTTTCAGCCTCGCTTCACCTCAGTTCCCAACTTGCGCGGCCTGGGGCGGGCAACGGGGCCGAGGCTCATTCTGCAAAACTTGCTTATTGCCAAGGGAACTCAGCGCTTTCCAAGGGTGGGCTTGTCCACTTTATTGTATTTGAAGTGCCCTTGGGGCCTGTGTTTGTGTGTCTGTGTGTTAGTGTGTTTGCGTGTCTGTGTCTGTGCTATGCCCTGCCATAGCAGACATTCCCCCCCAACCCCTTTGCAGAAAAAGGGGGTGCCTCGTAGGGTCATCAGGACAACCGCATGGTGTCTTTTTCCCTTGGGGGGTGCTATACCTGCCATAGCAGGCTCCCCAGCAGCAAAAGGGGGGTGGCCCTGGGAACGTTTTTGTTTTTGGCGGGGGGTGATGGGTGTTGTACCCGCGATGTGAGATGAGCCGAATGTGAAGCCAAGACTTTGAGGTTCGCCATGGGCTCCCATGGGCTCACCTGGCGAGCGGGCACTACGGAGGTGGAGCGCGTGAGCTGCCAGGCACGGCTGCTGGGGGTGAAGCCCGGCTGGAGCATCAGCACCTCGGACAAAAACCGGGCAGGCGCCAGGTACTTTGGCGAGCGCCGCCCCTGGTTTTGCGCGGGGCTGGGGGGGGGGGGGGAGTGAAATTTTGGTGACCCAGGGGATGTGGTTTGGCCTCAGAAGGTTGAAGCGACCAGATGTTTGTGCATCGGTTGCCCCGAAACTGGACGGCATTTGGCTCCTCGCTTTGCCTCACACGCCAAAAACCCCCCACGGAAAGAGAGGATGTGTTCTTACAGATGTTGCACTGGGTGCTTGGCAAGGTGCAGCCGGAGGAAAGGTGTTTTTCATGAGCCATACATCCATTCCGCAGAGAGCGCACAGGTCACGATAGTTTGGAAAGCCCGGGGGGGCACCCGAAAGGAGACGGGCGGCCGATGCAGGTATGATCGATGGAGTGCCGATTGAGACGAGCTACCAGGCTTGGAACGAGCTGATGCGGTGCAAGAAGTCCGGAAAGAAGTACCAAGTCTATTTCACCAAGGATGAGGCCTCCATCCGCGAAGACCAGGCAAGAGCCGAGGCAGAACGAGCCCGCAAGGCAAAGCAGGAGAGACCACGGGGGTGCGGGCCGGGAGATGGGGAGCCGTCAAAAGGACCATAGCCCTGCCTTTACACCGGCAGGCATGCACGTTTGGCACGCACGGTGTTTAATGGCACGCACGCGTCCTTTCTGTGAAGGATTGGTCCTTCAAGTTCCAGCACCCCTCCCAGACCCCTGCGATAAACAAATGCTACTGCAGGCAGGTTCCTGGACTACCAAATCAGGGAAACATATTTTTGTTCCGCGGATGTTCGGAATCCACATCGGTCCCAAACAAGTTGGCATTCGGACGCAGCAAACCACAAATCGCAGTTTGTCTCAAAGGAGCCTTTGTGGTTTCCACGGAGGGTGCCATGGAAATTGGCTATGTTGCAACCTCGGCCAAATATCCTAGAGGAACTCAAGGAAAATAGGGCTTGAGTGCCTGTGCAGGCACCACAAGCTGCAGAACTGCAGAACCATGCCACGGAAGCGCGGAACCGTAGAACCACGGAACTGCAGAACTGTGGAAGCGCAAGACCTTCCCATGGCTCCCGTGTGGCTCTTTGCGTAGTTTACTTCGGCAAAACCAAGCAATCCTTGCCTTGCTCTCTGACAACAAGGTCCTTTCTCAGCCTTCACAGTACGAGCTGATGAGCCTTGTAGAGCTAATAATCTTGCGCTGCATCCTTTTTTCGAACCGTCTTCGTTGATTTTCAACTCGCTCCCAGGAGGAGGAGCGGAAGAAGCGGGAGGAGATCGAGCGCAAGATCCGCGAAGAGGCAGAGAAGAAGCGGGCGGATGAGATTGCGTCGAAGAAGCAGGACGAAGACCTTGGATTTGGGCCCCAAGTCGCAAGGGTCTGTCTTATGGGAACCCCAAAAAAGGTTCCAATGGATGCTCGCATCTTTCCCCTTTTCTAGGGTATCTGCTTGCAAACCATCAAAAACGGGGTGCCTTCGCAGAATGCCCCAAGTTTGATGAGTGCGATGTTTCCTGCTTGTTGAGGGTCCCACAAAGAGCCTGGATAATTTGAACGGGGTTGTGGGGTACTTTTGAAACTGAATGCAGTCATGTCTCAATCTCGAGAAGGGGGTTTAGTATTTGCAACTATTGCGGCTTCTTGTGTTGGATGGGCGTGCATTCTTCTTTTGGGGGGGTCCTTGTTTTAACAAGCAGTTTGGACCTTGTGTTTGACCAATCCAATTCACTCAGGAAGTGAGGGGCAGTTGCTGGGTGTTCAATTGTTTTTTCTGTTCGTCTTTGCACGTTGTTGGCAGAATAGGGGCATGTTGCGAATTGCCGAGGGAAGCCATTCGTTGAGTACAAAAAGGGGGTGCCTTTTGTTGGACCCCGTTTTTCTCCATCTCCCGAGATGTATTTGAGCAGTGCGTTCGGAGTTCCCGACGGGTTCCGGGCCTTGATCTTTGCGCCCTCTTTCAGGTTCCTTCCGTTTGGTTTTACCACGTCGCTTTCCAGTCCGCCTCTGGACCTTTCGCGTCTTGGATGTGTGTTTGCGCGTGTGTGCGTCTTGCTCTTGACTTTTCGGGGCAGGGGGTCGAGATGTCATGCTGGCTGTCGGTCGGCCTTTTGGTCTTGGAATCGTGTGCCCTTTGATTCGTTGAAGCCAACCCCTTGTTCGCGCATTCGCGCCGTTTGGTTCTAGGGTGACAACTCCCCCCTTTTTGGGGTAGACGACTGCCACGGTAGCCCCAAATTTCCGGGTGAGGAAAGCAGCAGCGCGCAGCATTGCCCATGGCCGTCTCCGTTGCTTTTGCATCAGTTTTCTATGTCTATGCAGGACACCCAATTGAATGGAGGTCAACTACCCCCCAACCAAACCATTCGGCGGACGGCCTTCAGGAGTACCGGGGCCATTCGGAACAGCGGGTTGGCTGTTAGGCCCCAAGCTTTTTCTGTTTGGTTTCCCTTTTGTCCTGTTTCCCTTTTATTTTTCAGCTACCTTGCCCTGTTTGTTCGCCGCGCCGATTCATTGTGTAGGGTTGGAGAAGGCAAAGGCAAACACATCGGCACATGTAGGGGCAAGATCCAATTCTGATTCGTTGATCGCGAACCCCATTCTTCTTAGCCTCATGGCCTTTTGTTTGGGGCGTACCTCGATCGCTCCAAGTTTCTGATTCTTTTCTAGACGCTTTGCGCAACAACCATCACAGTCGCCCGGAACAAGCTGCAACTGGCAAAATCCAGGTGCCCCCCCCTGGGCGTTTGCACGGAGTTTTGGCTTGCCCCATGGCGTCCCATGGCATCCCTGTTCGCGCGTTTGGTCCGTGAGGAGTACTGGGACAAGCAGCAGGCCGCGGCGGAGCCCGCGGAGGCGGAGGCGGAGGCCGGCGCCCCCGAGGCCGAGGAGGCGGCGGCGGAGGCTGCGGAGGAGCCGGCGGCGGAGGAGGGCGAGGCACCGGAGGCGCCGCCCAAGGAGGTGGAGTGAGCCGATGGGCGCGCCAATTTGAGGGCCACAAGATTCAAGGGCTACAGAAAGCACAAAGTTATGTTAATAGAGTTAACAGAAGTTGCATGAATTTGTGTCTTCTCTGGCTCAGGCAATTTGTGTTTCATGCGTGTCGTCCGTGGGCGCGTGGGAAAGCTTCCAGGTCCAAAAAGCCGGCAACCGCCAACCGCCTCCCCTGTGCCCTCGGACCGACGCGGGGGAGAGGCCTTGGACCTAAAAGAAGCAGTGATTTCAGTCTGAACATGTCTGAACGTGAAAACCGCGGTTCAAAAGGTCCATCCTATGTATCACTTGCATGCAACGACGCTTCGTTGGAACTTGCCGAGCGAACCTTCAGGGAACTGCTGCCTCATGCACCGAAAGAAGTGCGCAGCGGATGAGTTGGTGGATTCGGATCTCCAAGAAAAGTCACCCTTTTTGATGGATTAAGGCAGTCGCATTCGACGCCAGCATGCTGTGGACGGACGACATCTTTCACAACTGGTGCACGACTTTGTTCGTCAACTGCATCTGGAGGGTCCTGATTTTGATGCAGATGGTAAAACAGATTGAAGCTCCTGAAGCTTTCGATGCTCATTGGATACATCGCGCCCTTTTTGCTCAAGGCTTTCAAGTGTCACCCATGACACCAGCCGTTGGCTCAGCCTGGGCGTGTCTTAGTGTGAGAGTACCCATAGTACCCCATTGGTTGCTTTTCATGGGCCATGGGGCCTCCTATTCGTTAAGTCCTGGTCGCAGTGGCTTGGGCTCACGGCAACAAAAATCCGCATGCTTCACTCAACCTTGCGCAGGTGCATTCACCAAAGCACAGGAGTTATTCGGGGGGTGGGGGGACTGCAACAGCTTGAGCCAGCAAGGCGCGCTTGCCGAAGCACCTTGCAAATTATGTAATCCTACTTATGTCCAAAGCATTGGGCGGCCAAGTGTAAGCTTTCTCCCCCCTTCCCCCTGATGGCTGCTTTCGGTTTTGCGCACTTTCGGCGGCTCATTTCATGAAAGCGAAGCCATCAGCGGACAATGACAAAGCTTCTCTTAAAGCAAGAGGGTATGTGAGAGAGAAAATAGCTTCCTGGCAAAACAAAGCGGTTTTCCTTTCACCGCTTTTACATTGGGTCCCGATTCGCTCGTCGAGCAATAGCTCGTGAGGTAAAAGCTTTGCAACCCTCACAAGACCGGCGAACCCGATGGGTTTTCCTTCACTCAAAACACTCTTCCGGAAAGCTTTCCAGGAGCGCAGCTTGGTTGGCCCTGTGAAGCAAAACGGTTATGCATGCACTTAAATGCCTGTTTTCATTTAGGCGGTTCACAAGATTTCACAACCTCATGCCCAAGGTATAACTAAAGCGTTCGGCGGCCAAGTGAGGTTCATGGCAAGATGAAGTCGCTGGAAAATGCCGGCGAAAGGCCCGAGCCCATCTTGCTTGCGATGCCCTTGGTGAGAATGCAAACGTGTTCTCGTTGCAAGTCGAGCACCGCCGGGTCTGGCTGCGATCTGTTGAAATGTTGGGTTTGAAGCGAGAGGACTCCCACGTCCCGCTTGCCCTCCAAGAAGAGCGACAAAAAAGTGAAGATCATTCAGGCCGGGAGTGCTGATGTGGGTGGGTGTTGCACGCACTATTTGGATCCAAATCGGGGTTCCCCTACTAGTTGGACACATGCCCTTATGACAAATCCAGCAAAGCATGATGCATGCATTGGAAACGCTTGCAGTGTTTCAACTAGGGGTGACGTCGTTCCAATGAGGGATTCGACATGCTTGGGGCACCATCCCTCAAGGCGCACTTAGTAAGGACGAGCGGTCTGCACATAGCATGATGCTTGGCATATCCCATTGGTGCCTGTGAAGCAGGGGGCCAAGGACTAACAGCTCGGGTGGGGAATATGGCAGCCACCGCTTTGAATTGTCTCCTTGGCACCCCATGCGGTGAGCTGCAACTTGTGGGGCTCCCAAAGCTCGTGTGGCTCGCACTTTCAACCCTGAACCAATCCCTACAGGCGAACGGTGGCTCCCGCTGGGCCGCCGAAAGCACTTGGGACCGGCCAGTGCAGACAACACGCTTGCAGGAACTTCCTGCCCATATGACTCCGAAAATATGCATGTGTTCAAAAGGTTAATCTTGCTCTTCTTCCAGATTAAGCGGTGAGAATGCCCGTGGACAAACAACCCGAAGTCCGCCCCATTTGCAAAGCCGACCCCACCACCCCGCGATGTTTCCCTCCAACTCGCGCGCGGTTGCGTTCGCAAAGCCGGAGGAGATCGTGCAAGAAGAGGCCAGGGAGCATCGAGGGCCCAGAGTCTCTGCCCGGCACTCGAAGCGGCCGAAAGCCTTGCCTTGTGTAAGAAGCACACCCGGATCCAACGTGTTTTTGAAAGACCCAAACCTGGGCCATGGGTTCTTTCCTTTTGGCCCGACATCCTAAAAGGGCCCTTTATCATGTCAAGAGATGCCAAAGCATCTAACTTGGGCCTTGGCTGACTCGTTTCGTTCCGTCGTTTTGGTTAGAATGACGGCACCGCGCAACACCCAACTCATAGAAGCATTTTTGCTGTCCTGAAAATGGGGAGGGAACACCCTCATAACACCTAATTGCATCCTGGCCGTGGCCTGGGGTGCGACTCCCGCCCTGGGCTGGATCTGTTGTCAACGGCCGCCGCATGTTTTTTGGGTGGCAAGCTTTGTCACCTTTTCGGAGTTGCTATTCGTCGATATTCCTGGCTCGCATGCTTCGGGGATCCATGGATGATATTTAAGAGCTTTGTCTTTCTTCTTGGCGTGTTTTCCAGCAGCTGGTTGGCAAAGGTTGGAATGACTCAGTTTGGATTTCCATGTTGTTGGTCGCTCTCAACAAAACGAGCCCATGCATGTTTTTTATCCGGCATTTTCGTCTATATTCCCTCCACTAGTGCTGGGAGGTGACATGTTGAGGGAGCTGAATGGATGGGAACCTATAATCGACTGTGTGCTGCTTTGCGGCCGCCAAGTTTCGTACAATCGTTGCCACATACAAGTAAGGTCATTCAGGTGCTTCTCCCCTTAGTTGATTGATTGCTCTCCCGCTATGTCTCATTTGCAAATGCCGCACCAGCTGCGCACGCTTGACTTGCCTCCCATGGTTATGCCAATGTGCACTGGCTTTACTGCCAACGGACCCACCGCCCGAGGTAGAGGCTATTCAGAATGCCCTGGACGACCAGATGGAAGAGATTCACGGTCTTTGTGTGCTGCACTTGCAGAAGAACAAACGGATGCGTCTCGGATTCCCAAAGCTCGTGGAGATAGGGCATATAAATCACCTAACGGCCATGGAAGCAAGCAAGTCTCGAAGGGCTTGTCGCATGCCCAAAATGACCGGGGCCATGCCTTTCAGCAACCAGCCCACTGCTGCCTTGGAGTCCTGGAGGGATTCTCATTTTTTGGGGGTCGGAAGTGGACACGGCCGCTTGAAGCAAAATCCAGGCGGCATAAGCAGGGGATAAACGCTTGAGGCATCAAATCACCCAGGCGCAAAATGGAGGTTTGCGGCAAAAAAGGTGAAACATGCCGATCCCGAAGGTGTTCGGCTTACGCCATTCCGGAAGTTTTGCGCTTGAGAAGAATCCGTGTCTACACAGTTGGCTAGCAGGGGCGGTTCTCACCTAGGCAATCCAGACCAGCATTCCGAGCTCCTTAAACTTAAACAGGGCCCGAGCTAACAGCAGTTGAAGAGCTGAGTCTTTGTGTCAAAGGGGCTACTGGAATTCCAATGGCTGCTTTCCTTTCACCAACCTGAGAGCCTTGAGCCGAGAAAGCCCAGGTTGGAGAAGCTGGAGCAGGTGGAGAAGATCAAGGACTACGAGATGCAGGATCTGAGAACCCAGCCGCCTGCCTCAAGCTCGTGCTCAGAGCCTGGCGAAATCAGCGCTTTGCGTATGAACGAGCGCTGTGTTTTGGAATGTACGCGGTTTCAAGTTGGTTTGAAGGGAACCAAAGGGACCACCGCCATTTTGCGACCCCCCCCTATATATGGATACCCAAATAGGGTTTACACATGGACCCCGTTTAGGAGCTTCTTACCCCAGTACCCAAGCCTTGGGCGGGCAAGTGGTTCTCACACTGCACCGGAAACCTTTGGTGCTGTGTGCCAACTTGGTATTTTATGCCAGTGCATCGGCCGGTTTGCCCAGCTTTTTTTTTTTAGTTCTAGAGAAAGGTGCGGGAGTTTGAGGCTCAGATTTCCTGTGGACTCTCGAAATGCATGTCCACTGAGGATGCTGAGCCTGACAACTCCTAACAAGCAGCTGGGCCAGGCCTATGGGCGGGATCAAAGGGTCAAAGGTGAGTTCTTCAGAATTGTGGGGAAGACTCACCATGCGTGTTCATGTAATGCATGTCGAGATTCGCAATTTCATATTTCGTCATTGTCGTGCGCATGGCGCAGTATCCTGTCAAGTCCGAATTGGGGGAGGGAGCGATGTGTAGGCTGCCAGCATCCCTTTTCCCACAATTTTCTCACAACGGGGCAGAAATAGAATCATGCAAATATATAGTTCTGTTTACCACTTCGAGGGAGTGGGATTCAAGATTTCCCAGCTCTTTGTCCAGCATCTCGAATCTTGAGTCTCATCCACTTGTAGTAAGCGATTGGCAGCTCCAGGTCAAACACACGCAACTTTTCAGTATAAGCAGTATAAGCGTAGTATGCTAAGCACACATTGGCAGCTTTAACGTGCCTCCAACAGCTCTTTTCTATACCGTGTTTTCTCTTATCAAAGTCAATTACACGCGCTCCACGTCCTTGCGCAAAAAAACATTAGCATTCTAGTTCAACTCCATCAAGCTAGTCATTTGCAAGGAATTCTTATCGAATCAATGTGCTGTTTTGTCTAGTGTTTTTTTTAGAACAATGTCAATAGCATGTGTTGAACATCAAACATGAGAAGAATACCCAAATTGAACAGTGTTTTTTCAAAACGAGTTCAACTTTACGCAATTGCATTTCCTCATGCGTTCCGACAAAATCGAGAGCACAACTATTGCAGGTTGACATTAAACACAACTACAATTTCAAAGCGTTATTTGCCGTTGTCTAGTTCCATGGCATTGTAAGTCAGCACGAACAGCGTCAAGCCAACCACTGGAAGTGAGTCAATCAGCATAGATGTGCTCCTTGACAGACATGCAGTAACATGCTGTGTGTTGTAGCATTTGTCAGATCATTGATCCTCCACTCAAATGTGCTCTCAACAATTAGGGTCAAGCTGAGCACCTCCCAGTTCGACCAAGAAGGTCCTGTGAAAAATGGCAATGTTTCTGGCAAAACTTGACCGTTTCTTTTGGCAGGACTCAAGATCCAAGATTGCATAGAGAAGTTTCTTGGGAATCTTGATTTGAGGCCACCCCCAAAAGTGAGTTAAGGAGTTGCCCTATATTCCCCCGGAGCCACCAGACCAAGACAAAAACAAATAGAAAAACAACCAAGCCTGCACGGTTTGGTTGCTAGGTGTTGGCCAAGATGTTACGCAACATGTGGGAAGTGTGGCGCAACAATTCCACCAGACAAATGGAAACAACCCTACCCCACCATGACTGGTTTTGTGTGTTGTTCGCACCATTGGGAAATGTTGCGCAGCATCTCCAAAGAACTAACATAAAGCCAGACATCGTACTTCTTGATGGCTTTAGGTGGGGTGTAGGGCCAAATTACATACAAATGCATCAGTTACGAGCAAGCCAATAAAACAGCAAATACATAAACAAGAAAGCCAATGCATAGATACAGAGCAGCGCTCAGCGAGGTCTGCTGTTTGGTGTTTGAACCACTTAGGGAAGCCACTCTCTCAAGCCACCGGCGCGGATCGGTCTCGGCTGATTCAGAGCCACAATCAGGCACCGCTTACCTGGCGGTTTGGATTGGTTTGGGGGTTGAACCACGCTCTTACCCTCCAGAAATAACAACGTTCACGTTCGACCGGTCATTGGGAAGACTACTGTAGGTTCCTCTTGGAAAGGGAGGGCGTGCATGGTTTGTTGGAGGGATGGGTATGCTTTTGAGGGCATCCTAGGCCATGCCCACGGAGACACGCGGAAGAATAGGCCGATTGAACCCCGAAAAGGAGTAACTCCAAAGCTGATGTGCGTATAATTACTTTCCAACTGACTGGAAGGCCTCCTGCTCTTGTGGCAGCTATTGGCAGGTGCAACCACTTAGCCGCAACTCTGGCCGGAATGGGGGCACAGAACAAGCGCTTCCCGCAATTTGCCGTTCTGTGGCTTTGGTAAACGAAGCAATAGCCTCGGGGAGGGAGACTGACCATTTGCTTCCCGGGGTGCGATTCTGCATTTGTGTTGTGAATCGTGCCGACAGTATTGGAACACATGCTGCGCAAGGCTCCAAATATACGCAAACACAACAACGGCAAGCACAACCCCTTTGGGGCTTCAGCAGAACCAACGATAGCAACATAGTTTGTTACACACACACATATACCATTCATTGTTTCAACAAGCGCTAACAACAGATGTGTCTGTTTTCTTAACGAAGACCCACAATCCACGGGTTGCAACGAGGGGCCGCCTGCCAGGCAAAAGGTAGCAGCTTGGGCACCGCCCAGCTGGAGAGCGCGCGGGGCTCGGATCGGAGTGGGTGGAATGGAGCGCGCCAAGGAGAGAGAGAGAGAGAGGGATGTGTATATATATATATACATGATTACTATGTTCACTGCTGTTATTCGTGTTTTTTGTTATTGTGATATTAAATATTTAGTAGGACACCTTAGGTGATAGTTTGTCAAAGTGGGGACCCCCTTTTGGTCCCTTTTGGTTGGTATTAGAGCAAGCCATCTTGGGGCTAGCCTGTGGACAGTTGTGCTTTAGTGCCAGCTGCTTCGACACCAAGGACATCCCCTTGAAAGTGACAAAGCGACAAAGTAGTCAAAAGGAACATATGGCAAACAGGAACCTCGGGATGGGGGGGGGGGACATCCTTGCCTCATTTGGGTGCCCCTGAACAGGCGAGATTCCTCCGGCTTCCCTTTGCAGACCCTTGAAAAAGGGCCAGGTCCGATGGTAGGAGTTCCAACTATTTCGGGAATCCACCGTCCCTTAACCTCATCCCTAATCAACACCCGGGTCAGTGAAGGTTGGGGGGGGAAGTCCAAACCGTAGGTGCGGATATCCGCCCTGATTCTTTACGACATGTGGGTAGGCTCCTTGAGGCTTTTCGAGATGGCTTCAAGGGTTTTAGCCCATTTGCAAGTTTGACTGTGAGTTCAGTTTTTGCTGTGATGGAATGCTCAGGCCTCCGGTGGTGCCCGTGCTTCCATTTTTGGAGGGGGTGGCTGAAAAAAACACCTACCCAAAAGAAGATCCTTTTCTTTTCCCTCATGGGACTCCAGTGGGGTTCCGGGAACTAAGGCCAAGAAGCTGCTGGTGCAACGGGACGCCGCCCGGGTACTCGGGCGTCTTTGTGCGCTTGCTTCGCTTCCTTTGCCGGCATCCACGTGCGTTCTGCCGTCGATATTCGCAAAGCTCCGAATCCTTCCCCAAAGCCACACCTTGACCAATTACCTTAAACCCACGGAGTATTCATAAACCCATTGGCAAAGAACTCTAAGGCAACCTAGGGCTTCCCTAAGCTGCCCTAAGATTACCCTCAACCAACCCAACACCAGCGATTCAACTTGAATTGAACCGAACGCGCGTCAATCTACTCCGAATCAGCCCCAACCCCGGCCGATGCACGTTGATTTTGCGCAGGATCCCTTTCTACCACTTTCCATGGCATTTCTTTGCCGGCATTGCTACGTGAAATGCAAATCCCAACGCATCCAACTGGTGTTTAGGGACATCCATGCATTGACTTTTGGGAAAACAAGATGCAACCCAAATCCACAAAATCGAAGCAGAGCGCCGAGAAGTGACAAACCGAATCGCCAGGACCAAGTTGTTCGTAGCGGTCGAACCGGGTTCCATTTGGCGACAACCTTTGGCTTGGGGTCCACAGGTTCTTGACCCTGAAAACAAGCCCGATCATCCGGCGAACGGCCAGTTCGACATCAGCATGATATTGCCGGCCCTTCGCAAACCAACTGGATTAACACACGCATGCCAAGCCGACCAACAACCCAAACAAACAAACAACAGGCAAGCAAGCAAGAACAAGCAAGCAAGCCGACAAACAAACGCAAAACACAACACGCAATAAGCAAGCAAGCAAGCAAGCAAGCAAGCAAGCAAGCAAGCAAGCAAGCAAGCAAGCAAGCAAGCAAGCAAGCAAGCAAGCAAGCAAGCAAGCAAGCAAGCAAGCAAGCAAGCAAGCGACAAACAAACGCAAAACACAAAACACACAGCAAGCAAGCAAGCAAGCAAGCAAGCAATCAAGAAAGCAAGCAAGCAAGCAAGCAAGCAAGCAAGCAAGCAAGCAAGGAAGCAAGGAAGCAAGGAAGCAAGGAAGCAAGGAAGCAAGCAAGCAAGCAAGCAAGCAAGCAAGCAAGCAAGCAAGGAAGCAAGGAAGCAAGGAAGCAAGGAAGCAAGGAAGCAAGGAAGCAAGGAAGCAGGGAAGCAAGGAAGCAAGCAAGCAAGCAAGCAAGCAAGGAAGCAAGCAAGCAAGCGAGCAAGCAAGCAAGCAAGCAAGCAAGCAAGCCGACAAACAAACGCACAACACAAAACACACAGCAAGCAAGCAAGCAAGCAAGCAGTAAAGCAAGCAAGCAAGCAAGCACGCAAGCAAGCAAACAAGCAAGCAAGCAAGCAAACAAGCAAGCAAACAAGCAAGCAAGCAAGCAAGCAAGCAAGCAAGCAAGCAAACACACACTCAAGAGACTGGCAATTATAAGCAAGCAAGCAAGCAAGCAAGCAAGCAAGCAAGCAAGCAAGCAAGCAAGCAAGCAAGCAAGCAAGTAAGCAAACACAAGCAAACACACAACCAGACAAAGAAAAAAAACAACAACAATAACACGACCACGCAGAAAGACAAGCAAGCAAGCAAACGCACAAGCAACCACCAGTACACCGTACATGCACACACACACAGATGTCATCGTACAAAACGAATAGACAGGCAAACATTCAATTGCGCAACAAGCATACAAACAAGCAACCAAGCACTCAAGCAGCAAGCAAGGAAACAAGCAAGCAACCAAACACTCAACCAAACACCAAACACAAAGCAAGAAAGCAAGCAAGAAGGAAAGGAAGCACGCAATCAATCAATCAATCAATCAATCAACCAACCAACCAACCAACCAACCAACCAACCAACCAACCAATCAATCAAACAAACAAACAAACCAACATACAACAACATCAGACAGAACAAGCAAACAAACAACCAATCAATCAAGCATGCAAACAGGCAACCAAGCAAGCAAGCATCCAAACAAACAACCACCAAGCACCTAGGACAAAAAGAAGCAAGGAAACAAACACACAAGCAAGCAGCCAAACAAAACGAAGCAAAACAACACAAATCACAAATAACAAGCAAGCAAGCAAACACAAACAAACAAGCCAGCAAGTATGCAAGCAAACAAGTAAGCAAACAACCAGGCAAACAAGCAAACATGCAACCACGCACAACACAAACCGCAAGCAAAAACAACGAAATACAAACTAGCAAGCAAGCAAACAAAGACACACAAACAAGCGACCTAGGAAGCAAGCAAGCAAGCAAGCAAGCAAGCAAAACACCAAATAATTAACCCACCAAACATCCGACAAGCAAGGCCTCAAGCAAGCAAGCAAGCAATCGAGCAAACAAACAAGCAAAACAAAGGACAAGCAAGCAACCGAGCAAACAAACAAGCAAAACAAAAAGCAAGCAAGCGAACGAGCGAACGAGCGAGCAACCAAGGCACAGCGTTGAACCGTGCAAACATCTAAACGTACAAACAACAAACAAGCAAACGTTGCCCAGCAAACATGCACAAACAAGCAAGCAAGCAAGCAAGCAAGCAAGCAAGCAAGGAAGCAAACAATCAATGAATCAACCAATCAATCCATCAACCAACCAATCAATCAAACAATCAATCACACCAAGAAACCAACACACAAAGCAAAGTGGAATGCTAGTCACCGACGGACATCAAACCATCCAGTTCTTGAACCAAGCCAACCCGCAAAGAAGAACAAAGAACAACACGATGGACAACTGAAAAAGACAACACACACAGCCAGTCCCCTTCAAAACGAACGGTGAACAGACCAACCATGCCGGCAATCAGAACAAGAAAGCCAACCAAGCAACTCAAACAAGGCAAACAAGGCAAAGCCAACAAAGCCAAGAGCGTGCGTGTCTTGCACGCAAAGCCCTCCAAAGCCCGGGCACGGAGGCACGGACGCCGGGGATCGCCGGGCGTGATGGTCTCTCTCGTGCGAGGCGTGCCGCCTGGCGGAGCAGGAGAACTTCCAGCTCCGCGAGCAGCTGGCGGCCATGCAGGCGCCGAACGCTGGATCCATTTGGGTGTGGCTCAAAATTCAACAGGGGTTACGCAGGTTTTGGTTGTGTCCACTTTCGGTTCCATTTGGGTACCTATTTTTGAGCCACAGCCATTTGGTTTCCCTTGAAACGAACGAACGACTCCGGGTCTCTGAGCAGGTGCCGAATGACCTTTAGGGAGTTCGGGGGTGGCCAAATTAAGAAAAGCCCTTGAAACCCGAAATGGGGTAGTCAACAAAACACGCAGCCAATGGTTGTTTCTCAGCATGGGAACCGCCTCTCTATGGCAACGGTTTCCTCACATACTGGACTAGCTAGGGGCCGAAATCCGAAAACCATCGGACAAATCCATTGAGGTGCTTGACCAAGCGCGTTTGCAAAAACCTCACTATTTTCAGGGCTCCTTGGCTGGCCATGTCAAACATGACCTTTTTTTCCAGACAATTTTGAGAGTGGTTCGATGGATAGCATTTGGTTTCTCCTCCAAAACTGTCTTATATGTTAAAGTGTAGGCTACATATAGGCCAGATTCTGAACATTTGTTTTGTGTGCCGCAGGTTCGGGCCAATTGCATCCAACTTGCTTTTTCCAGGGAATGCCAAATGGCTAAATTTCTGTCAGAACACCAAGTCGTTACCCATGAAGGTCCCTTAAAGATTCCGGATTTCCAGTCCGTTTCGAGTATTCCTGGTTCCCTAAGTCTTCACATGTAGATTTGCCTGTGAATGGATTGGACCCTTGCCCGAAAGTGGTTATTGGGTGCTGCGCCAATGCAAGGGAGCCGGCCTTGGGAAACAGGGCGCGAGGCTTTGGCTATGCTCGCTTCCCGAGACCCGCTTTTTTTGAGTTTCGAGTCAATGGCACTCCTTTAGTTGTTTTTCTTTTTTCTTTTTTTCTTTTTCCGGGGAGTACTTTAAGTGACGGATTGCTAAGTGAACCATGGCCGCATCCACTTCGAGTGTTGTTAGTCATGGATCGCAAGACCCTCGGCGCTTTTCTTTGGGAGCCTGAAAGGCTGCACTTCGACTGCTTGGCCGCCTTTGTTTGGCCATCAATCAGGTTATAAGCTGAGCTGTTCAAAGACAATGCTGAACCCTTGGGTTACGAAAAAAAGAAACGGTTATTGAACATCGAGATGGAACACAAACCATTTTCAATTGACTCCGGATGCGTGCATCGGATTTCGGGTTGCGCATTTGTTTCGCATGAGCCACACAGGTGCGGCAAGGTCCTCGGGGCTATATACACATTGGGATAGCCTGCCAAATGGTTGCTGGGTTAAAATTTGCCCAACTCCTTCGGCCAAGTGCGGCGAGGTGGTGGGCCAACAGACCTCATTTCTCTTGAACAAGGCGACCTCGCCGGAGGCCATCAGTCAGCCACTGAGTCCCCAGATGGTCGCTGCAGGTTTCTGGAGACAAAGCCGAGAGACGGAAGCCATGGGAAGCCGGCAGGATCGAAAGCCAGCTTTGCAAAGGGCAAAGGCGCCAGTTTCTCCTCCCGGCGATTCAACCGTTCGTCAACTCCATGTTCAAAAACCCGTTGGGGTTGCTGGTAGTCGAGCGCTCAGGTGCCGTGGCTTTGCCGCCAGAACAGCCACCGCCGCCGCCGCACACCGATGCGGCCGGGAGTCTCAGACTTCCTGAGAAAGGGAGATATGAGGGGCTCAATAGTGACGAAACCCTTTGCTACTTTGGATGAACAAAATCTTGCACCGGTTGGGATTGGTGGTTTATCCCGGCTTTCATCCATCCCAAGTGGTGCGGCTTTGTCCATTTACAGCATGGTCATGAAGTAATTTGGTTTTAAAGTGCCCCAAGCCTGCATTCTAATGTGATTTGGGCCCACAATTTAGCATGTCAAAGCTTAATGGGACCCAGGAATGATCAACTCCAGGTTGATTGGGGCGCATCGCATTTCTGAGGGATTCTATCACTGCGGAAGCCCCGCTCCATAAGGTCGACATTTCTCAAACCAAGCAACCTAGGGACTGGATATGTGTGTTTCGGTGTAGCAGAGCCTCACTGCAATTATGCGGGTATGTGTCAAAACAGCCTGTCAAGCAAGCTGAAAAGGGAACACGGCCATGTCAGGACCTGCCTTTCAAGTCATGGGCTTTTCCCGTTTGCATAGGCAGCAAGAATGGTTTGGTAGCAACGTGGGCTATTTCAGGGGGTCCCAGGGGTAGGCCCACCTGGGGTTGAGCAAGCAGGGGGAGGGCTGCCCTAGATAACTGCGGTCGTTGAGGTAGGGTGTCTTAATCAGAATGTTCACTTGCAAGCTTGAATTAACCATGTCAGTGAAAGTCGGCAAGCATCAAAGGCTACCGATGGGTTATGATTCCAGCATATCCCATCATATGTTCAAAGTTCCTGTGTGGAGTGAATTGTTTATCTAAAGAACAGCCTTCCACCCCATATGGGACAACACTTCAACTTCCATCATGACGGCAGTTATGTTGATGTTGGTGGCTGGCATCTGTCAGCTGTATGATTTGTCACCACGATTGATTCTTCAAGTATTGCAAGTGGAGAGCGCGGCGTCTGAGCTTTGACGGATGCGTGGATGGAGACCCCAGAGAGTCGAAAGGACACGTATTTGGCTAGCACGCGTCAGCTGGCCATGTGTTGGGCCTTCCTGTTTTGAAGATGCGCTTTATGTGGCGTTTTCTTATGCCCTATTTGGGCAGGTCGTTCGTATCATATACCCTTGAAGGAGCCGTGTTGACCGCCTGGTTTCTTGAAACTGGCGCGGCGCTTTGTCTGCGGGGATTCGCGCTGATGTCACCTAGTGCCTTTGACTTTCCCCGCGTTCTTGTCATGGGGTTTCTGGGGCTTCGGGGTTGGAGCCAAAGAAGGGGAGTCCCCCAAATGGAGGTTCCAGTGAAAAGCCAGACGTGAGTTCAAGGCGAATCTGGGCTCAGAGCTATTCCAATGGTCCCTGTTCGTTGTTGTTCCCCGGTTCGTGGGCCAGAACTGTCCTGCATGGAATCGATTTCAATGGATGACGAGCCACGTTTGTCGCGAAAAGGCGCAGCCCGTGTTGGGCGTTGGCATCGTTCGCGCTTAAAGCAAAAGCGCTCGGTTTTATTTCAATCTGCAAGATCCTGATGCCGGATGGGTTACGTGGTTTTTGTTCCCTTCTTGTGGTGTCCCACTAGCTAGAGGTTACGGAGGATTAGAGGTCCAATTTGAAACCCGCGAGGATGTAGGTCAAGGCGCGGCCCGTTGCTCAGGTCTTGTTTCGGCTGGAGAGGGCCCAGACGGTGTTGGAGACGTGGGCCACCAACTACCACCCGCCAAGGCCTTAGCAACCGTATTTGCCGCGCCTTTCCAACAAAGAAATGCAAAGCAAAGGTGGTGTCCCTTCCCCGCCATTCTTGATCCAACCATAAACCAACAAGCAACAAGCAACAACCAACAACCTGAAGCGAGCAGCAAGCAACAGACAACAAGCAACAAGCAGCAAGCAGCAAGCAGCAAGCAACAAGCAACCAAACAGCGCAAAAAATACCAACAGCCAACAAGAGCCAAGAAACAAAAACCAAGCCCTTTTCGTTTCGCTTTCAACCAAACCGAAAAGGGGGGCCCTCAAAAACCAACACCCCGGAGAGGAGCAACGCTATCCTTGTAAGGATGGATGAACAAGAGTTTGCTTTCATGATGAAGCTGCTAGGCCAAATAATTGCACTGGAATTGGTGGGTGCGGAGGCTTTGCGTTGGCATGTTTCATGGCTACTGTGTGTGTGAATTTGTGAATCCGCAGGAGGTCTGCCAACTGTCCAGATGTGTGATTTGAAATCCTAGCAGCGCAAGAATTATGGCAACAAGTAGAAGGGGTCGCCCGCATCTTCTGGTGATTTGTAGGGTTGGAGGCCCAGTTTCTTCTTTGCATGTGTGAGACTGTGGGAACTTTATGGGTGCCACACAAAACGCTGCCTTCCTTGTTCACAGAGAGAGGGGCCCTGTGACTTTTTATGTGGGCCCCGAGCCTTCCGGGCCTCGTAGGCGCTTTGGCTCAGCCGGCCTACGCCCAGAAAAGGCCCTTTGGAATCGACGCCCCTTTTTTTGGGGGGGGCATCCAGTCCAGAGGTCTAACTTCGGGGTTCCCCGTGTCAGAAGCCTCCAGGGTTCAGAAGGGCCGGGCCCGGGGCTTGGGGCTTCGCGTCTGAGTCACTGAGGCGGATTCGGCCACCGGAGCTCATCGAGTCGGACGACGAGGACTACCTCCCCGGCGCCGTGCCGCCGCCGCGGAAAGGCGCGCGCGGGCGGTCGGCCGTGAACCCCGGTGGAAATGTTACGAGAAGACGCGTAGAGCCCGGATGAAAGGCCGCACAAGACCTGCTAGAGCAAGTGCAGAGCTTGAAGTGCAAGTTTTGATGCTCAAATGAGGTTTCACAGAAACCCCTTTGGACTTTTAGGGTGGGGTTGGGCGAAAATGGATTTGAGGGAGCATAGTGAGCCGCAAATGAAGGGTATTCGTAAGCAGTCTCAGACAGAAGCGGGTGCGGTCGCCTTTTGATTCTTTACGTGGCTTTGGGCAGACCATTTTCATACTAGATTTTGTCTGCATTTTTTGCGACTAATTTGACATCTATAAGGGCCCTCTTCAAAGGAAGGCCTAGTTGAGGGCGTGTGAAACGAAGCTGCACTCACGGTGTTTTTTTAACTCAACCCTGGCTGCCTGAACTTTACGGACGTGTTGTCAATGGGTTAAAAACGCTGAAACTTAGTGGTTGCCCCATGGCACTGTTCTTTTACCTTCTTCCCATTTAGGAAGTCTAAGATCTTGGGTTTGCCGGAATGCCGAAAGCGTTGCACGAAGCGTCCCTGCCATTTGCAGAATCTTGGCCCATCTTGGCCCCAACACCTTGTTTTTTCTTAAAGCGCCAGGCGAGTTTGTTGGACCCTTGTTGTTGAATTGCAATCACCTGTTGCATCTGACCTACACGTCAGCTGCCAAGCCTATGTTTGCCCACCCCATTCCACTTAAGGCTGGGTTTTTTTCGGGGCTATCAAGGTCAGACGCCTGGGTTGTTTGCTTTTGGACTTGCCAGGGGGTGAGTTTGGCAAAATCATGGGCGCACGGCGAATCAGGGGGTACTCGAGTTGTCCGAATTCCAGCTTCTCAGGTGATTCCAAGGGTCCACCAGAACCAGAAGAGGAGAAGGAAGAAGAGGAGCCTTACGATCCAAAAGCTGAGCACCTGGGCATGCCAAATGAAATGGTGCGTTGGTTTCTGGCTGTTTGGGTGACTGCGTGGCTGGTGGTTGGGGTGCATTGGCTTCCTTTTGCCGTTTCAACCTTAACTTCAAAACACACACGCCCGAATGAGGGTGAAACACTGAGGGTGAAACAGGAGACGATGCGCCTAACTGCTCCAAACTGTCGTGCTGGGATGCTGCCTCTCTACCTGCAGGACGTAGGAAAAAAGGCAACCGCCCCCCTCCCCCCGGGCAAAAACCGGCCTCCACCAAACACATCGGGGCACAGTACTTGGAGAAATGTCGGAGAGCCGCGGGATTGATTTCTGTTTGTCAGGAGCCAACCTTCAACTCAGTAGTCAGGCGTGAACCAACTTGATATCCATGCAGTAGGTTTACTCTGCCTTGTTATGGTGCTTGATCTTGAACTTAATAATTTCACCATTTAACTTGACGTCCCGAGTGCGCATTTGTGTTTCAAAGTGCGCAATGTAGATCCCATGAACGTTGCACCAGGAAAGGCCTATGCAATTGTTGAATTCTCAATTTAAAAGGATCCTGCACACTTGCCAGGTGTCGCTTTAGACGCTGGATATGACCGACGTATGATTTCTGATTGGTTCAACAAGTTATGCAATTCCAGGAAGCATGCAAAGTCAGTTGGGACAAAGCATAAGATACCGTTTTACTTTGTTTGGCCGCCAATGTTCCCGTTGCAACAGGCGCCAGCAACATACCAAGCGCACATTCTAAGTGACACATACTTGGAAATTGGAGCAAGTGAATCGAAGATTGGACACGCTGCAATTTTGGTGTAAACAATACATTGATTTGTTGTCGCTTTCTGTGCAAACATGTATTTCATATGCAGCGATCATGCGCTAGCACGTTCTAGAAATTTGGTTTGTCGTTCCTTTTCGATTCAGTCTTGTCCCAAAGATGCGCTGTATGACTAGCAGGCGTGCGTGTTCTCCACGCGTTTGTTTTCGAAGTTGCTCAACACGTGTGAGGCCCATAGTTGCAGACACACATGTAAATATGTGGCTTACATGTCCACCACATATCGGCTTCAATGACGATGCTCCACCTATAGGTCCTGCCTGAGTTAGTGTGCAGCATCGGGGATCCATGGTCGCCTTGCAGGGGACACACGGGTAAACCACGGAATAGGCCAACTGCTAGCAGAGGTTCCTTCGCGTGTAGCCACCGTGTGCCTCACACCTTGGGGATGGCTGCCATTTTCGGAGGAGTTTCCGGAGCCAAATGGACCACCAAACACCTTGGCCTCGTGAGGTATTTGCGGCAAAGCCAGAAGCAAAGGAAGAAGAAGGCGCTGAACAGCAAGCTGAGAGCACTCGACATGAAGTCTCGGATGCGGGACGCCTTCGCAGAGCCCTCCTACATCGCCACAGATCCTTGGGAAGATGGGGCGTGCATTTTCGGGACATTTTAGTTGGCCACTTCCCGGCTTTTTGGGGGTAAAACGAGCTCATCAACTGGGGGCTTCTGATTTTCAGCTTGGAGGAGCTTTCCAAGCGAAACCCTCTACACCAGTGAACGGAATGGTGCTTCAATGAAACAGGGAGAAGGGGAGAGAGGGTACTTCAGAGGGAAGAGAGGGGGGGATCCTTTTCAAGCCTGCTACCGGTACCGTCGCCGTCTAATTTGCGTCTTGCTTCAACTTCAAGCTGCGAAGAAGATGTTCCAAAAGGTTTCATTTCGCTGGTGATTGTTAAAAGCCAAGGAGCACTATCATAAGACCGGCTGCGCCCAGTGGATTGCCCGATCATACTGGTTTGAGCACACGACCATGCTGCCTGGCTGCATTGCATGGGGTTATGAGGAGTACTCATGGGAGCTTTCGCTGAAAGTTGTGGGAGTGTGGAGCGCTCCAAACCATTGCAAGACATAGCTTACCTTTGTGTTTGTAGACTTTTGGGGTTTTCATCCAGCAAAACGGTTTTTTCTTCTTTCGGCAGGGGGTCGCAGGCTGGTCAAGTAGTCAAAGAGCTTCTCATACTGGATCCCAAGCATATCCAATCAAGTCCACAACCTACCACCAGCCTACACAAATGCTCACTTCCGGTATGAAATGCGAATTCAGACCTTACTGGGATGACCCTCCGCCCAGGAAACAACGACTCAAAGTTTCCTTCCCAGCAACGCCTATGTTTTGCCTTCCTTTGCAGCGTCCCAATATTCCCTTTTCAGCTTGTTTTAAGCAAGACCTTTGGACCGCTTTTAGATGAATTTCCTCAGGGGGTGACAGAGTACATGCAGGGAGGTCACTCATTTTTGGAAAGACCACCCAGGCACCGCTAGTCAAGTACCCCTCAGTTGGTGGCTTGGATTTGTGGATTTGAGCCCCTGCTTCTTGGGGTAAGTGGCAAACTCCCAGCCTCGAAGACCTGGAGGGGAGCTGAAGGATCGTCATCCTGCTGAACTCGGTGTGGCTGGGGGTGGATTCCACCATCAACCGCCGCGCGCTGCTCATCGCTGCTGTGCGGGGCCCCAGCCGGGGAATGGCGGATGGGGAGGTGGCTCCGCTGTCGCCGTTCTTTGGCGAAAGCTGAAAGGGGGTTCCCCCGAATTTATGGGGAGTCAATTTCTCAATCATGGACCTGAATAATAAGTGGGGGGGGGGTTGTTAGTCAGGGCCAGGGTTCAAAATTATGGACTATAAATCGGGTTATCCCCTCGATTAAGGTTTTAGAACCCTACGTGTCACCAAACAGTGGCCAAGAGATGTCTCGTGCTGGG